AAAAAAAAACACAGAATGAAATATTTTGATGGATTTTTTTCTTACCTTAAATTCATAAAATAGCAACACACATACCTACCTCCCAGTGCCCATTACTAATGTCAAAAAGTCTAAACACATTTGCATAATTTAGACACGCTGTAATTAATAAAGATGATATTAAGAAGAAATAAGATAATGTAATACCTTTACTTTTACCTATGGGTTTGATGAAATGGTTCCATGAAGAAAGGGTTTCCATACAAAGAGAATAAAGAGGAGAGAAACAACAATAAGAATTATGAATATATGTCAATGCACTACTAGTTGAAAATTAAACAAGACAAGAAAGTATAAATACGGGTTTTGAAAACAAATGGAGATATAATCAGTATATGTTGAGAAAGCTGCCATTTTTTTTTTAAGCAATACATGCAAGGAAATTGGAAAGCCCATGCTCACTTTAAAAGTTTCCACAAAAAGGAGATACACAATGATTATAGGTGAAGGAAGTATTGATTCTGCAGAGCACTATGCTCATCACTCTAGATAGAAGCCAGAAGCCAAAGATGTCTGCACGTTCCCAAAACGCCATGCATGGGTGAAAAATGGACTCTCTTTAGTACATTAGGTTAAACTGTATATCCTCTTTCAGATATTAATTTCTGGTTTTTCTTTACTATAACTACCCTTAACTGCATATGCTGTTAAATGTATGGAAACTGTCAATCACAAGTTTTCATGTCTTATTTACTTGAAGATCTTATAGTGCAAAGAATGAACAAAAATAAAAGTCCAAGGAGCAAACCCAAATCGAATGAACAAAGAAAGGGGACGAAAGCACATGAAAAAAAAATATGACTAAAAGTTATGTATTTAATTTGCAGCCAGATAATTCGCAAGCATTTGCCCATCCTTGCCAGTGATGGTTTGAAAGCAGCTACAAAACAAGAAAACACTGAAAGCAGAGTGGAAAAGGAACAGAGCCCATACCTTGGTCGCCCATCATCAGGTGCGCCAGACCTTGAAGGGAAACAAGAGCATAGTCAGCAATAAACAAGGGAGCATGGGAAGGCAGGGTTGTCACGGTGACAAAGATGTTCAGTGACAGACATCTTGTTTCCTATGAGACATAGGAGGCAAATCAAAAAGCATTCTTTCAACCCCTGGTTGGAATGCTTTGGGGCAAAGAGTTATAGAACTGCAATTTACACACTGGCATATGCTGCACTGTGTCTTTATTTCTTCTGTGTATCAGTTGGAACAATCAAGAGCGTAAGAGCATGACTTCAAATCCAACTAATCCCCTAAATACTGCATCTGCCCTTCATGCCCTTTGGTGAGACTGTTTTGAACATTGCCCCCAAAAGGTATGTCATTCTTTGGTGATAAAATTATATATTTAAAAACCCAAAGGAGTACCTGAAACATGGGCTGGGTCTGATCTTTTTCCCCTCATCAAAAAATGAGACGGTTCATAATTAAATTAAAAAAAAAATCCTAGTCACACTGAAATGATAATGCAGAAGAAATGTCTCTTTGTCTGACACATGTAGCAATTGATTAAGCTTGTTCAAATACCAAAAAAAAACCCCAAACAAACAAAAACAACCCACATTCGGTATGCAGTTGTAAAGTTAGAATTGACTACAGAATAATGTTTTAAGACACAATGGATCAGCTTTAAATAGCCTCATGTAATTCTCCATGAAGAACATTATTATTTAGCTTTTCATTAAATGTTACTTAAATATTAAACAATGAGTTAATGTGAGTATTATATTTACACATATATGAAACATAATTTCATCATGGAAGTTTTCTAAAAGAATGATGAACTCCCTTTATCTATCTGCATTATTTATTATCTCTTGCTTGACAATTCAAGTTGAAGATCTCTCCTTTTTAAAGAATACTGCTAATGTTCTTTTAAAAACTTCTTTCACTATCCAAGTAGATACTTTTTACTGAAAAGCATAATTCCTAGTTCGTTATTCTAAATTCAGAAATAAAGCTACTCCTCAATCCATGTATAATTCAATAATGTGGGAAAGTATTAGAGCAATATAGTATGCATAAAATTTTAATAAAAATGTATATTTCATTTCCCAGTGTTATTTGAAACATAGTTGAGACTTTATTTGCGCTGCATAACATTACACATTACTTGCAACAGTGTTGAAATAATTACTGTTATTTCCTTAAAATTTTAGGGGTATTTAAATATCGCTGTGGGGCAGATACAATTACAAATTATCATATAATCACAATATGAAAACCATTTAACACAGTAGTTTAAGGTTTCTGTAATGCAGGCTCTTTTGTATGTTCTAAGTAATTTTAACCAAAAAAAAATCACACAGGTAGGTTAAAAAGTTTATGATCTGTTGGTGATTCATGACATTTTATATGCTCAGGAATAGTAGCTCATCTGTTCAAGTTACAGAATTTTTCATTTAATTTCACTTTTAAAACTACTATCCATATTTCCTAATAGAAGTTTATAACTTTTGAAAACTACATCAGGGAATTATCTCTGTATCAGATCTAACTTTTACAAAAATATATTAGACACCTCTAATGGTTTTTAATACCACCTCTGTAGGGATAGAAATTAATACATTTCAAGAGCATGTATACTCCTCGTGCTAGATTTCCTGCTTCTAAGGGACCTCGACTGTGTTGCAAAAGTCAAGTTATAACTAGAAATGTTAAAATTATGAATGAATAAACTTTATTACAATAGTTTATGGGCCTATCCTCTGAAAATCAAAAATGTTCACGGGATGAGTGTGTGTGAGAAGAGAGGCATTCATGCTTATTTAGGCTGGTTTTGAAGTCCCTTGGAATGCAACTGAATTTAAGGAGAAAACAACAAAAAAACATGGAACTTTACAGGATGAGTAAGAAAATGCAAAATAAGTTGAAAAGGCTCTATCAAAAAAAACTTTCAACCTCAATTAACATGCACAATATAAATGAGACTGATTTTTAAAGATGTCTGACCTGCAGGGTAATATCTTTATCAAGTGCATACTCACATGCTATTAAAATTATAATATTGAAAAACAGAAGCCTTATATAGAGCCAACACTTGGAAAAGTAATACTCAATGATTTCTTTTGAAGTCTTCATCTATTTTACTTAAATAATGGAACAGAAATATTTGGCAACTAATATGCAAAAACTGGATACTGATCAACCTTATATTACCATGAATTACTCTTTATCAACTCTTAGTAACTCCACTGGCTATTTATCTGCAACCTTTGATGGGAACCCTTTTTCTAAGAAACCTGTCATTCTGTAGAAATGTACACTGCTTTTACAAGATGGCTTTATTTCAAAATATTGCAGCAAAATAAAATATGCTAACTGCTTTCTTTTGACATATTAGTCAATTGTTTAAGCTCTAACTGTTAATGCTGTAATTACATAAGTTGATAGAACACCATCTTTCCTCTCACAAGTCTTTGCTCTATCTAGTTCTTTTTGCATTTTAATCCTTCAGAGATTTGGCAGCATATTAACTAAAGCATTTACGTTCTTTAAAGATAAGAATGTTGAAATATGTTTACTTTGTTGGACTCTATGGGAGAAAATGTACACCTTTCTCAAAATTCCTTGAGAGATAATTTTAGAAAAACTTGAATAAATATTGTCATTTTATTTAACAGACACAGAATATTACAAATAAACTTACCAGTAATCATGTTGGAGTGCTGTATGCTTTCATTCCCACTGGCCACTGGCTTAGTTTTTAATCTAAATGTTTGCCTCTGACTTACAGTGACTACTTCATTTTGTGTTCTTTTTATAAATCAAATCATTTAAAACTAAACCAATGGGCTTGAGATGATGTCATGCTAAACAATTCCAAAAGAAAAGACATCATTCTGAACAAGAAAAAAAATGGAGGAAGGATCATGCACTGTGTTCTGAAACTGCAAATAAAGACTTCTCATTTCAAACAAAAGAAGCAGGATTGTATCATTTTCCATACAGAACACTGCAGCAGGCACTCTAAGGTTCATGTGGGATGCTGAACTCCATCAAGGGTTGGAGTTAAGGTTGAAGGGAGTTTCATCTCCTTGGGGCGGATGGGACTGAAACTGCGTGTGTCCTATATGAAAAGTGATACACAATCCAGAGATCAACGAATGCTCAGAAAGAAGTTCAACTTACCGTCTCTATTTGAGATGTACTCTGTTCATACTAAGAAATAAAAGGCAAATGAGAGTTGGAAAAAAAAAGTGAAAAGCACCCACCTTCCACATTGTTGTCTTCTGAAAGCACATGACAAGGAGGGAGAGAAAAGGAAAAACATTCATTAAGCAGCATGCAGACTGGACCTTGCCTTTGCATGTCTTCCTCATGCAAGGCACCGAACACATCATGCAATGTTCCATCTTTACCATTCAAAGGGGCAAACGAAATCCCGGGAAGCACACTCCCTCCCACTGGCAGCGTTTAAAAAATGTGAGACGAAAGTTCAGTGATGCCGCCAGGTCATGAGCAAGGAGCTTGAAACAGTCTTTCACTGCCCTGTGTAAAGCAGACATCATCCTTACATGTCGCTGGCATGGTTTTTTTTAGGCAATTATTTTTAAGGCTTTTTAAATTTTATTTCTTATAATTCTAAAAGGTTCTATTTCTAAATTCTGAGCTGGACTTGGATGAAAAAAAGTACACTGCAACTAGCCATGAAGTCTCACTTAAAGATATTCCAGTTCTACCCGATATGTAATCCATTCACCATCACGGCCTTTAAGTAATTTCTAATACTTCAATTTCTTTCCTTAAAGAAACACAACATAAATGCATGCAACTAAAATCAACAATTTATTTGACTTATTTAGTGTTCGTATTTTATTGCGAATGATGGTAATTTATTGTAATTATTCAAATGCTAACTTTTAAAAACAATAAGTAGAAAAAAGTAATCACTGCAAGAGAAGTCCATTTGGGAGCTGTCCATTAGGCAAAGTTTATAAAAATTTATCACTTTGTACTTCTGTTTAGGGTGTGACTATGAATGGAGTTAAAATAATGGCAATATTTGGTGAACTTTCTCCTATATTTCCATACATCTATACAATATTTACATATTTGCACACATTATTTAAATATATTTCCATGTACATAAATATATGTGTGTGTGCACACGCACACACATATACAAGCATATTTTGCATGTATTTCCTATATATATAATCAAGGTAAGTGTATGGGATTTTAACTATTAGTACCTACTAGACAATTCAAGAATTATTTGAGACACAGGGCTTGGCATCCAGGTAGGAAATGTAAGGAAAAACTGTTTGATGGGACTAGGCGAGAGTAAGGTGTCAATATGTATCAAAATGTTTCCAATAGTAGGTTCACCAATGTTGAAATTTCTAGTCTCATTCTTATATTTTATTTAATTTGTTGTACTTTTTTTAAGTGGTCATTTGATCAAAAGTGTTTATAAAAAACAAAACAACAGCAAGTACAGAAACTTGAGAGAAAAACAACTATAAATGCATCATTTCATAAGGTTCAACAAATAACTTTTTTTAATGGCTAAATTCACTAATGAATTAAAAATCATTAACTTTGCTTAAATATATATTAGCTGGAAACTAAAATACCAACACAGGCATAGTTACTTATGTGGTCTTATGAATATAATAGAAAATAGCTGGTGGATAAATGTGGACAATACCATCT